GGATGTCACTCCAATTATTGTACTTTTTAACATTCACAATTCCATCAATTCAGACATTACTGCTAACAACACTGGTTGAAAGTAAGCTCAATCCAGGACAAATAGCCTCTCTTCAACACTGTTTTTCACATGTCTCAAACAATTAAACCAAAATAATTTAAACTCTAACCTAACCTAACTCCTATCCCAACAATCCATTCATAAACTGAAAGATAATTTACACTTATGATTGGTTTAATGCTAAAGGGTCACATATATCCACTGTACTATCAGTAAAACAGCAAAACTTTTGACAGTACTGTATGTATTTTTTGCAAACATCATTGCATTTGTCAAGCTCTAAAAAAAGGATTATACATATCCTTATAGATTGATACACTAACATTAGGAATAGTTCAACCTAAAAAAAATTACATAAAATTCTACTAAAAAAAATATACTTTGAACCAACTTAAAAAAAAAAAAACAGCAATTTGTTCTTTCTTAACATATAATTACACTTTGGTTCAAACTGTAATATTTATTTTAATCTACATTAGAATTGTTTATTGTGTTTAGAAAAAAAAACTACAATTGCTCAAAGTAAAAATATAGTTTTTCCCAGAGATGGGTTGTGGCTGGAAGGGCATCCGCTGCGTAAAAACATGCTGGATAAGTTGGCGGTTCATTCCGCTGTGGCGACCCCGCATTAATAAAGGACTAAGCTGAAAAGAAAATGAATGAATGAAATATATTGTTTACTATTTTTAGAACAACAGATTTTTGTATAAGGTGCAATACATTTCATGGATTATCATTAGGAGATTTGGATTATAGCAGGGGTGCCAAAACTCAGATCTGGAGGGTTAGTGTCCTGCACAGTTTAGCTTCAACTTCCTTCAAGACACCTGCCTGGAAGTTTCTAGCGTATCTAGAAAGAGCTTGATCAGCTGTTCCAGGTCTATTTAATTGGGGTTGGAACTAAAATGTGTAGGACATCGGCCCTCCAGGACTGAGTTTAAGCATCCTTGGATTAGAGAATGTTTTGAATTGCTTTACTTAACATAAAATATACCGTAGAAGATTAAAATAAGTAGTACAAAAAAGTGTGTTTTAAGGGAAAGTTCCCCTAAATGTCATCATGTTTTCATTGTAACGCCCCATTCACATGGGGCTTCAGCGTCAACGCTTGACTGAAGGCATGTCTGAAGTTGGGGCTAACGCAATCGTCATAGAAGTGTCAGCCAATGAAATTCAGTCAGCAATAGGCCACTGTCTAGCTGGTGTATTTGCATATAGCGATCTGATAGGCTGACGCTTCCGTCGGCGCTTGAAAAGTTGAGCTAGTCCCAACTTCTGCAGTGAGCAACGCCTCTCTAGCGGCGCAGACGGATCCACAATGCAGTTCGGCAACGCCTGACGTCACCCATTCAAAGTGAATAGGAAGCGCTGACGCCCTGTGTGAATGGGGCGTCAGGTTGGTACACACATGATGTGCTTTCTGTGGGACCCAAAAATATATTTATTTTTTCCAAACATCTCTGCATTTGTCAAACTTAAAAAAAAGGATAATAAATATGAGTCATCTGAAGTCATTTAATAGTTTTGTGTGATGTATAGATTGATACACTAACATTAGAAATCGTCCAACCTAAAATATTTGCCAAAATTATCATTTAAAACATACGTTGCACCCAACTTCAAAAAAATGCAGTGGAATTTGTTACAGATAAAATGTTTAGACTTTCTCAAAGTATAATTTTACTTTGGTTCAAACTTTAAAATTGTATTTAACCTAAATGAAACACATTTCTTGTATTCAGAAAAGAAATTACAATCACCCAAAGTAAAAATGTTGTTTACTATAAAGACACACATTAGATTTTTATTTTGGTACAACATTGATTTTCATTATGGGAAAATTTCTATACTAAAAAAAAAAGATCAAATCAAAGTTAATAAAATTACTGTAATTTGTTACAGCTGAATTGATCAGTTTCTCCCAAATTATAGTTTAGACTCGGATGAAACTGCCGGTTTAAAGTAAAGATACTACTTTGAGAAAAACTTGAGCTTTCATTTTTTTTTTTATGGCAAATTGGATAAAACAGGGTAAAATTAAAAACCATATTTTTTCTTTTAATCCAATATAAAAATGTACTTTGAATGAAAGGCACAGTAGTTTCACTTACACTTTACAGGGTAAATAGAACTTTAATCTGGAGCACAAATAAAGACAGTATTGTTATTCATTAAAGGAATAGTTCACCTAAACATTTTACCCACCATTTACTCACACTCAAGTGGTTTCAAATCTTTGTGAGATTCCTGTTTCCAGAAGATACTTTAATTGATGTTAGAAAACTGTAACTACTGACTTATGTAACAGGAAGATACAATACTATGGAAGTTAATGGTTAGAGGTTTCCTACATATTTCAACTAGTTTTGTGTTCAACAGCAGAAAGAAACCCAAACATGTTTGTGACTAGTGAAGGACGAGTAAATGATGAAAATATGTCCAGTTTTGGATTAACTATTCCATTAAAAGTATTTCTTATTAACAGTTCTCTGCAGCCTTTGACGTACTGGTGTTTCAGTTTATTTATGCTTTCAAATTGCATTTAGGGACCTTGATCTCCATAAATTTTTAATGTTAAAAATGTGTTCTGCAGTTTATAAGTGATTTTATTGGAACAATAGCCTATTCTATTTGAAATAATACAGCATAAGGAGAAATAAACAAAAAATAGCAAATGTAAAATAACAAAAACAAAAAAGTTACTATACAAATAAGCTACACATCGCATAGTTTAGTCAAAAATTACATGCAAGAACAAACCTGTTCTTACGTGTCAAGCATGCATATCCTCAAGAAAGAGGGTCACGAAAGTTTTCCTTTAACTGATCTGAACTCACATCATGACTAACTAAACTTCAGGAAGCAATAAATGCAAAGAATGTCACATTTGTACAACATAAATTAAAAAAGAAATGTTCATTCAACAAGCACTGTATTATTTTTTATAATTCAATTCTTTTATTTTCTTCAATAATTTAACAGTACCATCAGTTTACACATTTTTACTTCCTTTTTAATGTCCCCTTTTCTTCCCCTCCCTAACAGCGTCAGTAATTAGATGTTGCTATCATCAATTCAATGATCCAAAAAAATACATACAACAAATAATAATAATAAAAAAACAATAATAATGAATAAATAAAGAACTGTATTATGTTTGATTAATGCTTTTGTGTTGCTCAAATAAAGTGTTCGAAATCAAAATTGTTTTGGTTCAGTTTTGGGCTTATTTGGAGCGAAAATGTAAATGAAACAGGTAAACTGTCAAACAATGCAATCATACTCAATTATTTAGACCCTGTTCATGCTGGGAACAGTGCGAATAGAAGTGCACAACAAACCATTTTTTTAAATTATAGTGCTATTTGGATGACAAAAGAAAAATACATTCATTTAGTTCATTTGCTGTGCCTGTTGGGTTTATTTTAAAATAAATAAAGTATAATGGAAAAGCTACACGGTTAAAACAAATGCAGGGCTCCACACAATCCATTCACATTGTCCCAATACAAAGCGATTAAATTAGCTTAACCTCCTAGGGCTTAGTGGCCACATACGTGGACAGCACATTTTAGCTCTTAAGTAGCTATTTAAAATACTTTAAATGTTTTTATTTTGTTACAGACATACATTGTCATCCTGCAACTGTTTTGCAGCATATAAAATGTCACAAACACTATTTTAACTGTCCAAAATGGGAGGGTGGGGGTTGTTTTTACTCTCTGATAGTCAAAATATGTTCAAAAAAATGTATATGTTATTTACAGTTGAAGTCAGAATTATTAGCCCCCTTTTTTCTTCTTCTTTTTAAAATATTTTCTAAATGATGTTGAAAAAGAGCATGGAAAATTTCACAGTATGTCTGGTAATATTTTTTCTTCTGGAGAAAGTTTTATTTGCGTTATTTTGGCTAGAATAAAAGCAGTTTTTAATTTTTTAAACACCATTTTAGGGACAAAATTATTATCCTGTTTAAGCTACATTTTTTTCGATGATCAACAGAACAAATCATCATTATACAACAACTTGCCTAATTACCCTAACCTGCCTAGTTAACCTAATTAACCTAGTTAAGCCTTTAAATGTCACTTCAAGCTGTATAGAAGTGTCTAGAAAAATATGTAGTCAAATATTATTTACTGTCATCATGGCAAAGATAAAATAAATCAGTTATTAGAAATGAGTTCGTAAAACTGTTATGATTAGAAATGTGGTGAAAAAATCTTCTCTCCATTAAACAGAAATTGGGGTAAAAATAACTGATGGAATATCAGTTATCTCTAAAAGTACATCGTTGTAAAAGTTGATACTTTATAGGTTTTATTCTATTCAGGTTCCAATAAGCCCAAATAGCAAAAAGAAATAAAAATTGCGTGTAAAAAACTCATTGGGCCTTAAGATGTTAATTGTATCTACAAATTTAAGTGGATTGAACATTAAACAATTAAGTTCCATCTGAAATTTTCTTCTAAAATTAGCATTTTTCTCAGCCTCCAATATTTTTGTTGACTTATTCTCACTTTAAAGGCAATAAAAAGAACCTGTTTTTGCGATAAAAGTGGATTTACTGAACATACAAACGGGAGTTTGCAAAAAATGCTCATTTTAGAAGAAAGTTTCAGATGGCATTTAGGTTTTTGCATCTGAACTCTTCAATATTAGTACCAACAAGCAAAACTAATTTTTAAAAAATATTTATAAAATATATAATTGATGAAATATTTCTTACTTGTCAATTCAGCGTATCCTGAAGTTGCCTAAATAATTGAAGCGTAGTCAGTGTTTCATTGTATTTCATTTGTTCTCTGTTTGACAGATGTTCACTGTGACATTGCCTTTGTCGCCCAATAATAAGTGTCCCAATTGCTGTGTTTAGCTTCGGTTGCTTTGACAGCTAATTGTCACGTCGATTGACGTGTGCTGCTTCTGTTTTCCTTCAGGTCCTGTTCAACATCAATAAGCTTCAGTCTGCACTGCAAGAGGAGGGCTGGTTCCGCCTGGGGCCTGACAAATCTAAACACAGCGAATATGAGTGAGTCTATTTGAAAAATAAAGCGGAGAGCAAATTAAAGAACAGATAATGTAATCTTTATAGCTTTAAAACTTCACTCCACCTTTCTTGTAAATAGAATCATTTAACTTTTTACAAAAAGTCCTTTACAGTTACAAAGATTTTAATATTTTTGAATCCATTCAGCCAATTTCCAGGTCTGGCGGGAACACTTTTAGCATAGCTCAGTATAAATCATTCAATTGGATTAGACCATTAGCATCTCTCGCAAAAAAATTAAAAAGAGTTTATATATTTTCCTATTTTCAGTGATAGATTCTTCTGTGGTTACATTATGTACTAAGAGTGACGGAAAATAAAAAGTTCCTATTTTCTAGGTGATAAGAGTAGGAACTATACTCACATTTGGGCATACTAATCTATCCACTTTGCTGCTATACCATGGCTGCAGCAGGCACAATCATATTACTCAGCACCTGAAAATAGTCCCTAGTTAACAGCACTGCTGACAATTTGCACTCACTCTGCCATCTAGCTGTAAAAGAGACTTAACTCTTGCTGCAGAAATCACCAATCCATGAAAATACCTCATGCAACTTTCACTGACTTCTTCACTCTGGGTTCAGTCTTTCCTCATTTGAACTTCAAACATAATGGCAGTTTCTCAATTCCAAAACACTGAGAATGGACTTGCGTTTTTGTGGAGAGGTGTCTTGACAGCGTCCTTCCTGATGGTCACATTTAATTATTTAAATATTACAGCATTCATACAACAATTCATTGTTTTCTCATTTTCAATATATATATATATATATATATATATATATATATATATATATGCACAAAAAACATTACATATACACCCTGCACAATACAAATAAAACAGATTTTAATACAAATTTCAACAAATAAACACACTTAATGTGTATATGCCTTTATTAAGATTTTCATGTCAATGTTTACTTTCAGCGTCTCATTTAGGGACACTCCTGAGAGAAATAAGTTATATCTCTAACCTTTAACAATAAATCTATATAAAGGGCCACACTTCCCACCTCTTTTATTTAGTTGCAATGACTTCTGGGACTTCTCAAGCGAGTTTTGCGATTAAGTTTGTACCAAGACATCCTTGATATCAAGAACACATCCAGGAACTTTCACGTGTCCTCCATTCTTGCGACCTTGAGTTTTGTAACTGAATTTTGGTGGTTGATGATGATGTTACACGAGAACACGAGGATGCAAGACCGCTAAAGAACGCATATTGAGAAACAGTTATCGTATTCCATCCGATCTAAAGTGTGTATAAAAAATTTAATTAATGAATTTTTACCATTAGAATTTAAAGGTCACCTTTAAACACGTTTTTAACATGATATTGCATACTAGAAGGTAGCCAGTGCACCAATAGTGATACACTTACCACACTTTGAGAATCACTGTTCTAGGCTTAATCCCAATTCTATTTTTTTACCCCTTCCCTTTCCCCATGGCCCTTGAAACAGAGTTTGAAGAGTAAGGGCTTCAAAATTTACCCCTAAGAAATGACACAGCACTACAACACTGCACACGTCATCACATGTCATCACAACCTCTTCCTATGAGATTGATGATCGCCACTGCTGTAGTTATTTCCGTTGTGTTATTTTTTGGTATTTATCTTCAGGAAATCACTAGGCATTTATCATGTTATCATAACGATACAATGTGGCAATAAGCTCGTAACGGTACTGTGTTTTTACACCTGGGCTATGTTCTTCCATGTAAACACACGGAAACAACATTATAGCAGACACTGTAAAAAAGGTCATTCCCAGCCACTAGACTTTTTCTGACAGGGAATTCAAGCCTCATCAAGGGACAGATGTGAAAGTATGTTGTGGGATGACCATACAGGAGTATTATTGTGAATTATAAATAGCTAAATTTTTTGGGATTTTTTTTTATCGATTTTTTTTTTAAACATGACGGTTCAACACAAATGCGGTTATGAATGTATTAAAACATTTGCTTGCTTGTTGTAAAAAATACTCATTTGTGCATCTCCCAAATTCCATGTGCAGCCATTCTGCCACTGTAGATGGTGTCTTCTGGGAATTTTTTGTACCCTCTTGGTTTCGGGTGTGGTCCTGAAAAATCTGTTTTAAGGGCTATCTAGCTCTTCCCCTTTGCCCTACACCTTCAGGCTAAAGAGAATTGGAACAGTCCTACCCCTCCACTTAAACACGCAAAATGAGGGGTAGGGGAAAGGGTTTATTTATACTTCTACGTCGAGTTATCAGCATGACCCATGGTGCATGCCTTGCGCATTGCTGTGCATTTATACTTCTGCGCATTGTTTGTGCTGTTTTGCAATAAAATTACAATAACCGAAATGCGTTCTGAGGCTGGAGCCAGCGGACATGCAACAACTTTAATCATAACGTAAACACAAAACAAAAGTTTCCACATGAAGCTTCTTCACAGGATTCGACAATTATAAACACTCACTCCAGGGCCCCCAACCCCCACCCACCCACGCTCATCAGCAATACCAAGCCGACCAATCACAGAGCTTGCATGTATAGTTAAGTGTAGTTAAATCTTTTGAGAGATGCGTGTCAGCATTGGCCACGGTGAGGGCTGTGCGACCATGCAAGGGCTGTGCCACAGCATACGCATGCGCTTGACACAGAAGTATAAATCAGCCTTAGGGGGTAGAAGTGGGAATGTGCAGTTCTAGAAAATCCAAATTTGGAAAGATCTTTTGGATCCTCTTCATTTTGCAAGGTTAATGAAATCTCAAAAGTTTTTTATAGTCTGATTATTAAGGTAATCACCACCAAGTGCCAAATTACCACCAATAACTGAGCTTTCTGAAAGTGTTGTTTGATCTGTGTTCGATATTGATATCCACTGTATGCACAATCAAACTTTTAACTTTGGTTGCAGCGGCAACAGTTCTCTCCTTTATTAAACAAATGACACAAGCACTAATAAAATAAAAACCATAATAAAAGAACATCAAAAATATTAAGTTCCAGTTCTTGGGAATTAGTCAGAGCTCACATTGGCGATTGTTACGCATTTTTCCCCTAGGCTCTTGCAATGTTACGCTTGTGCGCTCGGCTCCATGTGTTGACAGGAAGTACTAATCCTTTTCCTGGCTAAATCCTGGGATTTTTTTTTTCTGTTTGTTCGCTCTATCTCCCCTCCACCCTCACCCTTCCCTCCACCCATAAGAGATCATTCGGCCACGTGGATTGACAGTGGGGATTATATCTCAAGCTGGCACAGGAGGAGTGGGATGGAAAGGCTTATGTAAAAACTCCAGTAAAGGGGGGTTCAGTTGGTCGATGACAAAAGTTATGCGTCATCTGGAAGCTTGTGGGTAGATTAAGCCAAGAGAGTGTTTTAGGGACACGGCATGTCAGTGTGACAGACTTGGGCCCACATGGGCAAGGGAGTCATTGACATTCGTTCATTCACTTGAGATGATTGTGTTCCCACTGTCCAAATCTTTCTATGAGTCATGTAGGTCAAGTTGCATTTATCTTCATAGATACACAGACCAGGCTTGAGAATGTGCCATGTAGTGTGTTTTACGGATGACGTGTAAATGTTGGAGGCAGATAAAAGAATGTTTTATGCGTGTATTGCTGTTCTGTGATGATATAGCTTGGCCAGAGGGTGGTATTAAAGGAATAGTTCACTTAAAAATGAACATTTACCTTATCATTTTCTCCCACTCAAGGCATCCTCTGTGAATATGACTTCCTTCTGTCAATGCTGTATAATGTTGTTGGGTTGTGGTCATCCATTTAAGCTTCCAAAAATGCTTAAATAATTGTTAAACGAACACATTAAGGGTTAACGACAGTTAACGAGAGTGTGCTCCAATTACTGTAATTGGGTAGTTTTTCTCTATAATTGTAATTTGCTAAGTAGTTTTAAAAATGTGCACTTTTACTTTACCTTGAGTACATTTTTAATGCAGTATTGGTATTTTACTCCACTATTTTCCTTCAACCTGCAGTCATTCATTTATCTATTTCTTGTCAATGGTGATTGGCTAAAGTAGAGAAATCAGTCCTGTGATTCCTATCTAATCAAATCCTTATACTGAACAACCCTTAAGACATGGGAAGCAATAAAAAAGTCAAAGAAGATGTCCGAAATCTTTACACGCAATGACCCAGAGACTTTTTATAGACTGCATGTCAGTGATGAGAAAATGAAGGATGTTGACTGCATGACTATAATCACCAAACAGCCTTAAACAATCAACAAACGGAACAAATGAAGATTGGAAGGAAGGGCCGAACGAAGGAAAGACCAAACTAATGAAGAAAGGAATGAATCTGGGATTTAAGGAAGGACTGAACAAACGAAGGAAGAAAGGAACGAATGAATGAACAAAGGACCTAATGAAGGAAGGAACAAAAATATGAACGAACGAATAAATGAGCGAACGAGTGAAGGGAGGAATGAAGGAAGGAACAAATGAATAAAGGAAAGATTCAAGGAAGGATTGAACTAATTAAGGGAGGAAGGAAGGAATGTACAAATGAATGAATGAATGAACAAAGGACCTAATGAAAGAAAGAACAAAAATATGAACGAACAAACGAATGAAGGGAGGAATGAAGGAAGGACCAAATGAATGAAGAAAGGATTCAAGGAAAGACTGAACAAACTAAGGAAGGAAGGAACAAATGAATGAAAGAATGAATGAATGAGGGGCGACGTAGTGGCGCAGTAGGTAGTGCTGTCGCCTTACAGCAAGAAAGTCGCTGGGTCGCTGGTTCGAACCTCGGCTCAGATGGTGTTTCTGTGAGGAGTTTGCATGTTCTCCCTGCGTTTTTCCAGTTTCACCCACAGTCCAAAGACATGTGGTACAGGTGAATTGGGTAGGCTAAATTGCCCATGAGTTTGAGTGTGTGTGTGGATGTTTCCCAGAGATGTGTTGGGGCTGGAAGGGCATCCGCTGCATAAAAACGTGCTGGATAAGTTGCCGGTTCATTCCGCTGTGGCAACCCCGG